ATATATATCATCCCCGCAATATAAAAACATTTAAAACAATTTTGAAATGTGCAATAACCCAATTAATTTTTAAACATTCTGTGTATTTTTAAACTTGCCATAATTTCTTCCTTTAGTATATATTACGCGAAAAACGAACCATCCTGAATTAATCCTCCATATCTTTTAACTGACTAAATAGGATTGTTATAATTTTTTAAATTACTGATTTTTACCCTTTTCTCATTGTTCTCCATTTCTCCTTGCGAGTGCCTCATTTGGGACATGATCTAGGATTGTATTTTACGTTTTCCTTATTGTCGTTTGCAATAAAGTGATATTTAATAAATACCATAATTATATATTAAATTACCTCTTGAAATCTTTATTATTTAGTACTAGAGTTGTTAGTTAAAGAGTTTCTTGATCTGTTAGAATTGCACTTAATGGTACGAAGCCTGCCTGGTTTACAGTGGGAGTACTGTATGTGTAGTTCAGTGGGTGAGACAAGTATACATAATTTGATTCATTTTATTAATTATTTTACAATCTCGTATACATGTAATGCTGCCCTCGCTCTACCCAAATTGTTTCAAAACTTTAGTCGTGAACAATGGACCTTTCCAGCCAAGCCCCGCCCCTTGGATACTATTGCTAAGGTCCAACAAAAAGACAGCAGCGTTAAATCATACGTAAACACATGCGTTTGCGGGACAACACATGTGCTTGTTAGACGCGTGCGTAATGGCCCTGTTCTGATTGGTTATTTACTTTAGTTTGATTGGCACTCCGGAAAGGTCCATCATTACGGATCTATTACTGACGCATATATTATACTGTTAGCGCTTGCATAATTTTCAGATTCGTTGTTAAAACAATCTATGGAAGTAAAGTAGATAAGATCGTTTCTAGATGTGCAGGCCACACCCGTCTGCTGACGTAGGCCGGTAGCTGGCAAGCTTGCATCGTTCTGTTTGTTAGTTTTATTCGGACATCCTCTCTTCTTAATGATAAAGCAACAACTCACGATAAGTAACACAATACAAACCGCCGAAGCAGCTGCAGCGATGACGATAATGTTTGTGTCGGAATCTGTGTGTGGTTGAAAAATAATCAAAATTAATGTTTGTATCGCGAATTTCATTCAAAAAAAGTAGGAAAAGAAAGTGGTTGGTCCCGGTTACCATGTCTATACTGATATAGGCCTAGAAAGACAAGGTACAAAATTATGTACTGCCCGATAATAAGACTGTCGCTGATTAGTAGCAAGATTCACATGCATTTGTGTCTGAATTGCAGTTTAGACCGAGGGTCGACTTCCATGCTAGGTATTAAGACGATCGTTTTAAGTACACTGAAAATCATGTTCACTTACTATTCATGGTATTCGATGACGATGTAGGTTGTTCCCCGCAATTTTGAAGAATATCTTTACATTCTGAATCACACATTTCGCAAACTGCGCTACTCGAACAACTGTAATTTGAAAAGATATAAAATAAGAATACTACCGTACTTATAACAAAGGCTTATAATTTAAAATAGTATCATGCCCGATATTTAATTTAAATATCTTTTTCAATCATTCTTTATTGATATTCGGATACGAAATGTACAAAAGAAAACATTTACAAAAACCAGGACGCAGCCTGATTTAACATGCTTTACGCAGGCAAAAGGCAATTCAAAAGCAAGAAACAAGCACAAAAGAGAAACATTAAAATTTAATATTTAAAAATGATCATTCAAAATTTAGGTTTAACAATTATTTACAAATTAATTATTCAAGATTAGAATTTACAGTTAAGCCGTTATTATTTATAAAGAAAAAAAAATAAATAGATTTTACATTTTAATTACAAATTTCTTATTCAAAATTTAGATTTACAATTTAATTTACAAGATTATTTATTCAAAATTAGATTTTTTTTTACAATTTTTGCCATTATTATCCAAATCACGACCTCGTTCATCTATGGCAGATCCTCGAATTTTCCCAGACATTTGAGTGTCTTGATCTTATTTAATTTAATAATCACCATCCTGTCATCATCATATTATCATCATCAACTTCATCATCATACTATCGTATAGGTATGGGTATATTATATTATATATATTTATATAAATGTATATGTATATATATTATATTATATTATATTATATATATATATATATATATATATATATATATATATCATTAAATAATTAATGTATATGTTCCATACCTTGATGGAGACTTTGAACTGCAGTCAGTTTGGATGCATGGTTGAAGACCTTCTGTTGATGGCGCATCGTCATCAGAAGGAACGACAAATAACGGCGGAGTGCATGATGGGATACTATCCTGATCAACGTCATATTCAAAATCACAATAATCAAACAATTTTTCATCTTCGGCACAAGGACATTCACAAGTATAAGCGTCCTCCGATACACAGTTCACCTGAAACGTAACTACATGTATTGTTTTAAACTATATTTTAATTACACAGTATTAATTTAAAAATCATCACACCTGCCCGTAGGATTACCTTGTATCTTTTCATTACCATCGTCATCGTGAAACAACTTCAAAACTATCGGCAACGGATCTTTGATTTACTGAGCCACTGTTCTAGTAAGTGATTTACATCTCATGAAATATTCTTTTTTAAGTAAACACCAAAACTTTCAGTCATTAAGCGCATTAATTTTGTTTTACGCTATAAATTTTAAATGATTGTCATTAAGCCTACCGGTATATAATAACAATTATTAATTTAAATCAAATTTTTAGTAGAATGCTTACTTACCCTCGAGCAATAACAGTTGAAGTTGCAACTCAGTTGAGTAGAAATAATAACGAAAACAGCATTTGTGTTTGGGATGAATTGTATTCGGTACTGAATACATCCAGAAGTTGCTAACTTGTCGATAACACCGCCCTCTATCTCAACAACCTATAAAGTAATTATGTACAACACTTTTATGGATGAGCGTTTGGCCAGATTAATGTTCCTGCTTCTTGCGATAAAAACAGGCCAGCGTCACGTTTTAATTCGAGTCAGATCGCTCTGCTCCTCGAATACACGCTATCGCCGACAGCTTTCGGTGATGCTGATTGGTCGGTCAAATCGGGGAGCATTCTCTGGTTGCGTCGGGGACTGCTACGCAGTACAACGATTGCCCTGAAAATGCTGTAGCGACAGTGTAGCGATTGTATGGAAACCAAGCTTTACATGACCGTTAATCTTAGCTTCCCATACAATCGCTACACGCTCGCTGACAACTTTCAGTGTGAGCGATCGGATTGGTTGGTCGAATCGGGAGCATTCCCGATTGCGTCCAGAACTGCTATGCAGCAACAGTGTGCGATTGTATGGAAACCACGCTAAAGGCAGAGAAGGGAATAACGTATCCGTCACATTTCAGTAAGCACTGGCGTTGCACTGTGGCAACCCCGGGTTCCCAGTTTTCAAATAATAATAATAATAATAATAAATAACAACAACAACAACAACAATAACAATAATAATAATAATAATAATAATAATAATAATAATAATAATAATAATAATAATAATAATAATAATAATAATTGTAATATTTTCATCCAATATCATTATTCTACAGACATCTTTACCTCATAATAATATTGTCTTTTTATATCTTGGTAATTAATGCACGCTTTGCGCACCATAATATCATCATCAATCAGCTCTTTTGAGAATAGCATTTCTTCTTCAGTGACGTGCCTTCTTTGAAAGTTCGATTTTGAAGATGAACCAGACAAAATGGCACCATGAGCCAATAGATATCCACTACGGTCCATCACGAAACAACTGCAGTAATAACAATACAAAAACAATAATGAAGTTTACAAATTTAACTGATAATCATTGACCTATTGATGTGCTTAATCCCCCTTAATCAAAACGGCAGTAGCGCCGATATCTTTTTCATATAAATAATTATATCTCAACATGTTAGTACTTACTTGTACTTCTGCTGGCACTCTGGATAGACATCTATTATCTGATTATAAAAGAAATCAACTGTCACATCCATTCCCATTACACCGAAAACGTTAGACGAAGCCCTTAAAGAACCGGTAAGTGTTTATTATCAATAAAATAATGAATTTAATATAAATTATAATATAAAAACAATACCAACTATATTACTATGTATAGGGCTATTATTATGTTTGCTTTTAGTACGGTATTTTTACTTGTAAGTTGGCCTATGCCTGGCTTTTGGGTTCCTGCATTACCTGTAAGTGATGGCTTTGCTGAGAGTAAGTGTTGGCTTGGAAGACGACTCGAATAGATTGGCAGTTGCCGTGGTGATGATAATTGAGTCTTTATTACGCACTGCTTGAGCAAACCTGCAATTAATACAAAAAATCATAACTTTGCATAAAGCCGTGTGCGATATGTTTGTAACCAAGGGTCGATGTGATTGATTTATCGATCGATTATTTATTTTAAATCAATCGATCAATCAATCAATCAATCAAAGCTGTGTGTCGTGTGAATGTGACATATTTGTATCCAAGGGCCGATGTGATTCATTTATCGATCCATCCATAAATCGCTCGATCGATCGTTCATTTTGAATCTGGAATCAATCAATCAATTGATTAAGTACACAATCGCTACCATCACATACCACTGTTCAACAGTATAATCTCGATTCTTGTTCATTTTAAATCCGGGATAAAATCTCATGACGCCGTCAGTTGTGCCAATGTAACGAACCAAAACGTCGTGCTCGTCCGTTTCTTTCAACCACATTTTGTCTATAGAGGTTGTGACTACAACACCATCTCTGATGCCAGAATATATATATATATTATATACATATATATACATACATACATATATATATATATACATATATATAATATACATATATACATATATATATGTATATATACATATATATATAAAACATTATAGATGATGGGGTTGATATTGATATTGAGAATTATGAAGGTGAATGATGATAAAGTAAAGTTATCTGTAAGTCTAAGTGACGTCAGCAGACCTACTTTGAATATATTTTGACGACTAGCATCATTGTCGTTCATGTAAGCTGAGTAAGCCTGCACTAGGTCCGATGTCTCTTGCTCGGCTAAATAATTCGTAGGCTCCACAAAGGCATCTGAGTTCAGGTATATAGCACTTGAGCCTGTAAATATTATGTTACATTAATGACATTAATAACATTGAGGATGATAATAGTCGCTAGGGGGATATTGAGAGATATACAATATAAATTATTATTATTATTATTATTATTATTATTATTATTATTATTATTATTATTATCATAATTATTATTATTATTATTATTGTTGTTGTTATTGTTGTTGTTATTATTATTATTATTACCATTTATAATTTCATATTTGTCAAAGATATTCCACCATACTCATAATTTAATTTAATAAACGTGTTTAAGTAACAAACTCACTGGTAATTGCGTAATTCCCAATATGATTGCAAATTGTTACTCCAGAGGGCGTCCATAAGTCGATCCGATGATATATAAAAGGGTGACCTAATATAAAAACATTATACAGTACCAGAAAACAATGCAGATTGTGAATATTTTGAGTGAAAGTTGCTTTACAAATTTAAGTGGAGGAAGGGGTCTATTAGGTGTATATAGATCAACTGAATATTGACGTCGTTCGACTCAAATATGAAGAAAAGTTTTTTGTATAATTATTTACCGACTACTTCTTGTTTCTTCAGTTGAGCTTTACCCTCTTCCTCGACGAAGGCCAATACCACGATAATTGATGTTTCTTCAATCTATAACAAAATCAATAATAAAATAGTTTCGGTACACCCTACACCATGTGTAAGAATATGGTTTTATGATGTATCGACGTCTGAGGATAATCTATGCATTGGATGTACCGCATTTGTATGTTTGTGCCACCGATCTTAAGGTGTTAATGAATACGAATTATTCCAAATTTCCTCCAATCTTTGTAGGATTAGTTGTACTATTACTTAGATATAGGCATATTAGGTAGTTTTCGCCTCACAACGTTAACATTGACGTTAACGGATGACGTCATAATTTATTCATCTTGCGTTGCGGAGTACGTTATTAGGCAGTTTTCGCCGCTTGACGTTAATCTTAACGTTAACGGATGACGTCATAATTTATTCATCTTGCGTTGCGCGGAGTAGGCCTACGTTAATTTCAGTATTTGACGGGCTCGACGTACGTTAGTTACGGGTTTGTGCATGCGTATTTCGATTTGTTTACAAAAAGGGGCGGAGCTATCGCGTAGCATGTTGGGTACTAACCTAATGCTGAAATACCTCTACACAGTTCACAAACAATGTCTCTCTTTAGTTTAGTCAACGCATGTACATATATTGCCAATACCAAATAGGCCTATATAGATTCTAATGCATTTAAATCATTAAGTATTAATTAATTATTCGCTAGCTTACCTGTCTCCAGTAGTATGTAGTGGAGACGGATACAATCGTTACCCCTTCACCAAACGTGTCCCCACGGGCTATAATTTTGTCAGCCACGAATATCCGCTTTCCTTCACCGCCACTGTAGTTATAAAATATGCACAATATAATAATATATACGTAAACCATTAATATTCATAGAAACGGTAATGTATGTTGGTTAATATTCACCTGACGGCGTCCTTGTAAACATATTCTTCAAATTCTGGCGCCCTCTCTAGTGTTGTAATGTGAACGTATATTGAAAAGTCATTGGTCACAGCCTGCGGTAAGGGTAACAGGGGGTGACTCAGAGTACGACCTGGAATTAAATATGTTATTAATTTATCGGTAAGACAATTCAGACACTTAGAGCGAGGCACCATCATGATCGTGTAAGTACAGTAACATCATCATTTGAACACTATTCCCCTGCCCTGTCCTTCCCATTGTCACATATATCGCGAACTTCACGGAAGATCGAACCATTTCCATCGGCCTAGATAATAGGCCTACCATGCTACACCTAATTGACTCCATTTATAAGTGATGTTAATTCTATATACTGTAATAATCAATTTAATCTAACTTTTATAATACAAACCGCAGTTTTTGTGAATTGTGTTATAAGAAGTGTTCGGTTCAACATACCTTGAGCAGAATCTGTTGAAGAAATCGAATGATATCTCATTATTATTATTATTGTTGTTATTCAGACAATTGTCTATAAACCAAACAAATATGTATACAAAATACGTACAGTTCTATTTTTAGGCTTACTACACAAACAAATGTATAGATGAAAGGCCTACACGATTATACTAAAGGTACTTAGGATTATGCTTGGTTTCGTTTTGAAAAAAAAAAGTAATTTTGCCAGGAATGAACAAGGGACATCGAAATTTAAGTGTGAGCTACATATTAT